TTTCCTGCCCCGTTTCTGCTGTGAACCACCGAACCGCTTCCCGAAATGGCCGGTAGAGGGAGCTGTGGCAATGGCCGGGGCCAGGAGGCGAGGAGCGGACCGGGGGCGGACAACTAGGGAGATCGACGTCAACGTCGACGCCGGCGTGGTCGCGGACGCGGTGCACTCTGGGAGTTGTCACCAGGTCCTACGGCTCCGGACTCTGTAGCTGCCCCGGTTGCCAGGAGAGCGGCGCCGGCGGGGAGCAGGCAAGCCTACAACAGGTAAAAGTGTCCCCGCCCCCAGCGCGGTCTTTAGGCGGGCCGCCGGACCAAGGCGACTTCCAAGGCCTGGCTGGTTCTGGAGCCGCGAGGACGCGGCGCGTGTCTGACTGCTGTGGCGTCGGGGTGTCGCGGCCCCAGCCCCGCCTGGAACCGCGGAGGCGGCTGGACGCCCCTTGGTTTCGGGGACTCTGGAGCTGCGCAGGGACCGATGGCCGGAGGTGCGAGGGCGTCCTGTGGCTGGGACCGACCAGGGCGCGAGGTTGGGGTGCAGGTCGCACCTGTGCGATAAAGGCACACGGAGTAACCTCTTTGTTGGAATTAGTGCATGGTGTTCTCTCATTGGTTCGGTGGATTCTCTTCGGTTTGAAGAGAGAAAGCAGAATGTCAACTATGGTAAATGTTCACGGGAGGAGGTTAGAAAAGAGTACGAAGTTTATTAAGGGGAAGTCAGATTAATCTTACGGAAGTTGTTAACAATCACCATTGATTTCCGGACTTTAAAGTTGCAACATAACAGTAGTTACTGTGGGGTTTTGTCTTTTCTAGCCTACCCTTGGCGGGGGTGGGATGGGGCCGTAAGCGTAATCAACTGTACTTTTTAAAGCTGAGTTTTGATTCTTACTCCATCTTAGAGTTCTGTGGGGCTGGAAAAGTAAAAGATTGGAAAATCCTGATTTGGAGACAGTAGTTGAAGCATTTTTTTCGTTTTGATGATCACAAAGATACAGGAAACCAAGTATTTATTAGCCTTCAGCTATAGAGAGACGAAAATTAATTTTGATATTATTGACTGCTTATTTTCTATGTATATAAGATCTTGTGCTTTAATTTTATTTGTCC